TATATATATATATATATATATATATATATATATATATATATATATATATATATATATATATATATATATATATATATATATATATATATATATATATATATATATATATATATATATATGATTATTGAATATTGTATATTTTATTTTCTATATATTTGCATAATATTTTTAAATGCTATTTTTTTATTATTATTATTTTTCCAATACCAGAAGGCTAAGCAAATATGTCAATGTATTCCCCCTGAATATTAGCTCTGTATTGCTTACAAATTGTAGCAAAATCACTAAATATGATGCTACAATCTGGCAATAAATGCCTTGTGTTCTTGTGAGCCCGTCAGCCATTACAGTATATTTCATATAATCATAGCTAATACCAGGAACATGTTGGCTGTCTGCTTGAGATTTGGAGTGGTGAAATAACTTGTGGTGGCAGTATGTTTTATTGCCCTGGCTCAGGAGGCTGGTGAGAACATCTGCCTAATTGTTTAGTGTCATTGCGGGGCCCCATCGCATGCTCATTGTAGAATTAGCTGTGACAGTGTTTGCTCTGAGAGATACTGACATGTTGGCTCCGGCTCGGCACACCTCAGTATGCAGACCCCACTATATCACCTCGGGTGGCCTGCTTTTCGCTGACTGAATCTCTCGACAGAAACACAGAGCGAATGGTTTTATTCAGATATACATTAGCTTTGGCCCGTGAGGCATCTTGTGTCTCATAAACCTCTCATTAAGGGTTTATTTTGGAGGGCCGGGGTTGTGGGAATACCCAGCAGAGCATGCTCTACACCAGAGATTCACAAGAGTACGAGGCACATAAAAGCCACTCTTTCTTCTTCTGGCTTGCAGCGAGCATTAGCTGCTTCAGTGGCACAGGTTCACTGAGCCATAGGTGCATTCGGAGTAATTCGCGGAATGCCATCTGAACACGACGATAGGGGTGGAAGTCACTCTAGATGAAAGCTGCAATGCCATATAATTCTTAAGCTTGTTTCGAATTGTACAATGATGCATTTTTGAGCAGGGATGGAAATGGAAGGCGCTGTGGCATGGTTGGTTTATGGGTCAGTTGTGTAAACCAAATGTATTTATTACAGAAAGGCATTTTAATATGAGAACTTTGCTGTGCTGTTAAATAGCGTAGTCTTTATGTCTGTTTTTATCTGTAAGATAGATAGCCCTTCGTAGCTTAGTTTCAAAGACATTTCAAATAAGTTTTAAGACCTTCATTGTTAGTGTTTATAAATATATATATTAACAATATCACACATGTAGAAGTGCATTATGGCTGAATATTGGCACTGGTGGGAGGCGTGCCTTGAAACGAGGTTGCAGGCCGAGTGCCTTGGTGTCTCACCAGTGACGATGTACAGCCATGTTGCACTGCTATGAGTGTGATATTGCGTTTTTACAACAGTTTGACAGCATAATAATAATAATTGCGTATTTGAAAAATAAAATCAAACACTGAGAATCTAAAAATAATTTTGTATGAGGAACTACTCTGCCGTTCATTCACATCTGCAGCAGAAACAGCAGAAACAGCAGAAACTGTTGCTGCTTCACCAATGTCTCTGTAGAGCTAGTGTTTTAATGATTCTCTTGCGTAATGTCTAAAGTGATGACAATTTAGTCATTTTTGCTCACATTTAAGATTTTAAGGCTGAACAGCATGAATTGCCATCAGTCTACAGAGATTTCCCAGTATTTCTCTGTCGCAATTTGGAGATCACAATAATTAACAGCAAAAACGCTAAAGCAGTGCATACATTACCAGATTACTGTAGTGTTTGCGATAAAGAAAAAGGCTAAACACATGCGGGCATTTCTTTTTTTCTTTCTTTTCATTGAACTAGTCTGCAGTAACGAAAACAGGAGACTTATTAGGAACAAACAGATGGCCAACAGAAAAGAAACTCAGGGTTATGCAAAGAGTGGCCAACACAAAATACATACATTCCTTATATGTGAGTCCTATCTCACACTCAATACACAACAATTACATGGTATAAATACAGCACTACAACATAAAAAAAAGAGATCGACTGTCATTTACCTATTTTATAATGATTTGATCAGCTATAGTTAGAAATTGTGAGTTTTTCTCCTCTAAGGGCTCATTATGCGGTCTCTGACGCCATCTTGTGGATGAACATCATCAACCGTCTTTGCTCTCCTTAATGACAGGCTAATGACAGTCAAAGTGCTGCATCTCAAAAATTATAAATATTTAAAATACATGCTATCCTTATGAATATGCATAGTTGCAATCTAAACAACTACATTCTCACCCGAAAAGCCTCAAAAGAACATTTTCCTGTCGAACAGCTGCCCTATTTAGTGAGACTAGTGAGTTTATTGATCTGCTGTGGGTGGAGTAACATACAAGGGTGAATATCAGGGTGTTAGGGTGTTATAACAGGAATATCGCACGGCTATTAGCCAATCAGATTCGAGAACCAGACAAATCTGTTATGTGTGTGTGTGTGTGTGTGTGTGTGTGTGTGTGTGTGTGTGTGTGTGGTTGTGTGTGTGTGTGTGTGTCTGTGTGTATACACAGTAAATTTTGCTGTGTTAAAGAAACTCTTAAAGAGTTAAATTTAACACTGCAAGTGAGTGTATTTGGTCCCACTAGAATTGGT